TGTATTAAGTATGGGTGCTGTATTTGCAATGTTTAGCGGATGATATCACTGAATACCTAAAATATTAGGATTAAATTATAATATTACATTATCCAAAGCTCAGTTCTGAATATTATTTATAGGAGTTAATTTAACATTCTTCCCTCAACATTTTTTAGGTTTACAAGGTATGCCTAGAAGAATAAGCGATTATCCTGATGCTTTTGCTGGTTGAAATTTAATAAGTAGCTTTGGGTCAATTGTAAGCGTTGTAGCTGCTTGATTATTCTTGTATATTGTATATTTACAATTAGTTGAAGGAGAATACGCTGGAAGATTCCCTTGATTAAGCCCTCAATTCTACACTGATACTTTACAAGCTCTTTTAAATAGAAGTTACCCTAGTCTTGAATGAGCTTTAACAAGTCCACCTAAACCTCATGCATTTGTAAGTTTACCTATACAAAGTATAATAAATGTATAACTTAAATAACAAAATTTTTTGTTATATATTATAAATTTAATTAGTTATTTTTGTAGTGATTTTTTTGTAAAGTTATATTTTAATAATAAGATTATTAGATAACTAATCTTCAAGTTTTTTAGAGAAAAAAGAATAGAAGATTTAGAAAACCTAAAACGGTTTATAACTAATTTCTATTTGCTGACATTCAAACTGAAAAAAAATACTTAGTTTAGTACTATTAGTAGTTTATACATTAAGTATAATTACTTAACACAATATAGCTTAATTTAATCCGTAAAAATTTATTGATATTAAAAAAAAAATAGTACAATTAATTATAAATTAAAGTATAAGGTATACACTTTGATCGCAATCAAAGTAAGAGGTTCGATTCCTCCTTAATTTTTAAGATTAAAAAAATATAAATTTGTTTGATAAATATTCTTTTATCGAATATCTTTATCATTCAAAAATATTTTACTGTGGTTTAGGGTCAAGTGGTAAAAGTACAATTGTTGTAAAAATTTTAGATGAAACTCTAAAGACAGAGTCGTACTATATAGTTATATTTGAAAGATATAAATTATATAAGACAGATTAATGATAAGTGAGATTTAGTTCAATATAAAGTTTACAAAAATAGTATGTGTTTTCATAAAAAGCAAGCTGTTAGAGTAATTGATTATAATTTTATTATTAGTAAAGTAATAATAAGAATTTATATATTAATAACAGGAGATATTATATAAGGGAGAATATCACTAAATTGGGCGAGGAAGGGGCTCGTTTATTTTAAAATGTTACATTAAATAATTAATTTTGAATTTTTTTTTTATAAAATGAATATTACTTTAATACTTTTTATAATAGGAATTATTGGTTTCGTATTAAATAGAAAAAATATTATATTAATGCTTATTTCGATTGAAATAATGTTATTAGCTATAACATTCCTAATATTGATAAGTTCATTTAATATGGATGATATCGTAGGCCAAACTTATGCTATATATATAATAGTAGTAGCAGGAGCAGAGTCTGCAATAGGTTTAGGTATTTTAGTTGCTTTCTATAGATTAATTCACTTTCCAATTAAAAATCCAAGATTAAATTACTCTTATTCACGTTTTAAATTCTTACCTGTAATTTCACCAAGTAATTTAATCCAATTAAGAAATTATTGTAGTGAAAGGAAAATAGTTTTAAGTCCTTCATTTATAAGTGGATTCTCTGATGGTGAAGGTTCTTTTGTTGTAACTATTTTAAAGAACCCTAGATATAAAATAGGATGAAATGTGCAAGCTAGATTTCAAATAAAGTTACATGAGAAAGATAGAGCTTTATTATTATTAATTCAAAATTATTTTGGTAATATTGGATATATTTCGAAAATAAATGATAAGTCTACAGTTGAATTTAGAGTTAGCGATATAACTAGTTTAAATAATATAATTATACCTCATTTTGAAAAGTATACATTAATAACTAATAAATATAAAGATTTTATTTTATTTAAAGAAATTGTATCCTTAATGTTAGAAAATAAACATACTACTTTAGAAGGTTTAAAAGAAATATTAAAATATAGAGGATCTCTTAATTGAGGTTTATCTAAAGGATTAAAGGAATCTTTTCCTTCTATAACACCAGTTAAAAGAGTAGAAATTGAGGATAATATATTAAATAAATTATCTTCAGACTGAATAGCGGGCTTCTCAACTGGAGAGTCCAACTTTTTTATAACTATATCTGGTACTAAAGTATGATTACGTTTTTCTATAGCTCAAAATTCAAGAGATATATTGTTATTAAAAAGTTTAGTTGAATTTTTTAATTGTGGTTATGTAGCTCAATATAAAAATCGTAAAGTAAGTGAATTTATAATTACAAAAATTAATGATATAATTACATATGTTATCCCTTTTTTTGATAAATACAAAATTGAAGGTTCTAAATATAAAGATTATGTTAAATTTAAAGAAGCTGCTATACTTATTAATAATAAAGAACATTTAACTGAAAAAGGTTTAAATAAAATAATAGAACTCAAAAAAACTATGAATAAGAGTAATTAGAATTGACTTGCTTAAAAGGAAAGTTTTCTCTTGATCGTAAAAGGCGAAGTGAACCTTCGTCTAGTCTTTATAAGGCGAAACTCTCAAATTGCGGGGAACTCTTAAAAACAAATCTACCAAGTTAATATAGTAATATAATTAATGGAACAGGTAATGACTCGTTGTATGGTAAAAACGGTTTGTATATATAGAATATCCGCAGCCAAGCACCAAGTATTCTAAGAAATAACGGTGTGCAGTTCATCGACTAAACGTGAGTTGGTTTTTTATTAATATCTTAGAATATCAATAAATAGCTTAAGATATAGTCAGTCTCAATATATGAGTATTGAGGTAAAACGAAGAGGAAGTATAGCAATAGAATATAAATAATGTATTTAAGTATTATAATCTTACCTTTATTAGGTTCAATAGTACCCGGCTTTTTTGGTAGAAAAGTTGGTGTAAGTGGTTCACAATTTATTTCCTCTAAAAGCGTAATAGTCGCAACATTATTAGCTGTAGTTCTTTTTTTTGAGTTAGGTTTTAATAATATTCCTGTAAGTTTACATTTATTTAGATGAATAGACAGTGAGTGATATAATATCCTTTGAAATTTTCAATTTGATAGCTTAACAACTTCAATGTTAATACCTGTCTTAATAATAAGTTCATTAGTTCATCTATATTCAGTAAGTTATATGAGTAATGATCCTCATATACAAAGATTTTTTAGTTATTTAAGTTTATTTACTTTTATGATGGTTATTCTTGTAACAGGTAATAATTATTTATTAATGTTTGTAGGATGAGAAGGTGTAGGAGTATGTTCATATCTTTTAGTTAGTTTTTGATTTACTAGAATAGCTGCAAATCAAAGTTCTATGTCTGCTTTCTTAACTAATAGAGTAGGGGATTGTTTTTTAACTGTAGGTATGTTTGCAATATTATGATCTGTAGGTAATTTAGATTATGCAACAGTATTTTCATTAGCTCCTTATATGAATAGCAATATAATTTTGATCATAGGTGTGTGCTTATTAATCGGTGCTATGGCTAAAAGTTCTCAAGTAGGATTACACGTTTGACTTCCAATGGCTATGGAAGGTCCTACTCCTGTTTCGGCCTTAATTCATGCAGCTACTATGGTTACTGCTGGTGTATACTTATTAATGCGTTCTTCAGGTTTAGTGGAGTATAGTTCAATTTTATTATTATTATGTCTATGATTAGGTGCAATTACGACTGTATTTAGTTCTTTAATTGGTTTATTCCAACAAGATATAAAAAAAGTTATAGCTTATTCTACAATGTCTCAATTAGGTATGATGGTTATTGCTATAGGTTTATCTTCTTATAATATTGCTTTATTTCATTTAATAAATCATGCTTTTTATAAAGCTTTATTATTCTTAGGTGCAGGTAGTGTTATACATGCTGTGGCTGATAATCAAGATTTTAGAAAATATGGAGGATTAATCAGTTATTTACCTTTAACATACTCTGTTATGTTAATTGCAAGTTTAAGTTTAGTTGCTTTCCCTTTTATGACAGGTTTTTATAGTAAAGACTTTATATTAGAATCTGCTTATGGTCAATTTACTTTCTCAGGAGTAGCGGTGTATATCATAGCAACTATAGGTGCAATATTTACAACTTTATATTCAGTTAAAGTTCTATATTTAACTTTTTTAGCTAATCCTAATGGACCTAATAATTATTATAAAAATGCTCATGAAGGAAACTTTTTTTTAACTATTCCTTTAGTAATATTAGCCATATTTTCTATATTCTTTGGGTTTATATCTAAAGATATTTTTATAGGTTTAGGTTCTAACTTTTTTGCAGATAATGGTTTATTTATCCATCCTTTACATGAAATAATGATAGATACTGAGTTTGCTGTTCCTACAATTTTTAAATTATTACCTTTTATATTTACTATATCTTTTAGCTCTATTGCACTAATTTTTTCTGAATTATTCCCTGCAATTCTTATTTCTTTTAAATTATCTAGATTAGGTTATAATATTTTTGGTTTCTTTAATCAAAGATTCTTAATTGAATTATTTTATAATAAATATATTGTAAACTTAGTTTTATATTTAGGAGGACAAACTACTAATGTTTTAGATAACGGTAGTATAGAATTATATGGACCTTTTGGTTTACAAAAAGGATTATTAAGTTCAAGTAAAAATATTTCATATTTAAATACAAGTATTGTAACAAATTATGCCTTATTTATTTTAGTTGGTTTAATTACATATATTTGTATATATAAAGTACAAATTAGTTTTTATATTATATTAAATACATTAGTATTACTATTAACTGTTATTAATTTTAATAATAAAAATCAATAAGGTACAATTCTGGTTTAATTCTAAAGAATTATTAATAAATATATCAATATTAATTTAAAATACTAAATTACTCGAAAAAAAATTAACTCAGAGTGTATTCTCAGATATTAATATCTTTGGTATATTATTAATAAATCCTCATTAGCTTAATGGTAGAGCCAGATACTACGGATATCTTAGTTTTAGTTCGAGTCTAAAATGAGGATAAAAAAAAATAAATTTTTTAGTACTAACAAAAATAGTACAATTTAGTATTAATATATTAATATATTGTAAAGTAAGTTGTATAATATATCGGAGTTTTTTTGTAGGTTTAATGATCTTTATTAAAAAAAAATTTTTTAATTTAATTTACCATCCATGAGAATTTTAAAAAGCCATCCTTTATTAAAATTAGTAAATTCATATCTTATAGATGCATCACAACCAAGTAATATAAGTTACGCATGAAATTTTGGATCTTTATTATTAATTTGTTTAATTATACAAATTATAACAGGTGTAACTTTAGCTATGCATTATAGCCCTAGTGTAGCAGAAGCATTTAATTCTATAGAACATATTATGCGTGATGTAAATAACGGATGATTAGTACGTTATTTACACAGTAACACAGCTTCAGCTTTCTTTTTTTTAGTGTATTTACATATAGGAAGAGGAATATATTATGGATCATATAGAGCTCCTAGAACATTAGTTTGAGCTATAGGTACAGTTATACTTATACTTATGATGGCTACAGCTTTCCTGGGTTATCCACATAGCCCAAAATGATTTAATATAAAAGTATATAAAAATAAAAACAGAGTTTCTAGTTTAAGTACAGCTAGATATTATAGTACAAAATCTAATTTTCTTTCATTATCTGAAAATTTACTTAACCTAATAAATGAATTAAAATTAAATCCTGTTTATATTTTCGATAATCTAATATTAGAAGGTACTAAACAAGATATTAAAAAATCTACTTCAGGTTTAAGTGGTATATATATGATAATTAATAAAATAACAGGGGATTATTATATAGGTTCAGCAGCTACTGATAGATTTTATGCTAGATTTAGTAACCATCTTATTTATTTTAGAGGTAGTAAAGTAGTTAAAGCTGCTGTAAAAAAATATGGATTAGATAAATTTTCTTTTATAGTATTAGAATTATATCCTAATATTGTTACTAAAGAGAATAATAAAGAATTATTGGATTTAGAAGACAGATATTTAAAATCTTTATTGCCTAATTATAATATATTAACTGAAGCGAGGATCTAGTTTTGGTTATAAACATACAGAAGTTGACCGTATTAAAATGAAAGAAATTTTTAGTGATGAAAGACGAGAATGAATAGGTAACTTAAATATAGGTAAAAATTTTTCACTTAAAACAATAGAAAAAATGAGAGAAAAAGCTCTTAATAGAATACCTATGTCTGATGAAACTAAATTAAAATGTATTTCGAATACGAGGCCTGTTATTTTATATAATTTAAATGGGACTGTTTATGGCGAATATCCCACAATCTTAGCTGCATCTAAAGCTATTAATTGTAATGAAAAAACAATTATAAGAGCTTTAAAAACGGAAAAAAAATTAGTAAAAAGACAATGAATAGTAAAAGATTTGCCTAAGTAACTTAATTTAAGATGCGTACTGTTATTGCTATTATTAAAAAAAACTTTTATATTAAATTATAGTCTCACGAGTAAGAATCTTTTTGCAATCTTTATAGAGAAAAAAAGATTAAAGTGATATGACCCGACGGGGTTATAGAATAGTATGTATTAAATATTATTCGGCAATGCTAGTGAAAACGATCAAAGAATTAATATTTAATTTAAGATCGTCGGTTATATAAATGATCGCGACAGACTGGGTCACTGGTGGGTGGCTGAAATGCTGCTTAATGCACAGTCGGAACTTTTAGTTAAGATGTTATTTTTAACTAATAGAATACACGAATTCAAAGGTATTCTAGCTTATTATTCATGAATAAGTAAGTTTGTATGTTTTACCATATGGTCAAATGAGTTTATGAGGTGCTACAGTTATCACTAACCTTATAAGTGCTATTCCATGAATTGGACAAGATATCGTTGAATTCATTTGAGGAGGTTTAAACACAGATGAACCACAATGCGGCGACGTGTTGTTAAAAATCCTGCTTAATGCTGGAACATCCCCTATATTTGGAATTATATACGGTTTATTCTTAATTTTTTTAATTATTAGCGTGAAAATTATAATGACATGGGGACAATCAGCAGGGGTTAGAAGTATTAGTACTTCAGAAGCCTCTCAGAGACTACACGCAGGAGATCTAACTTATGCATATTTAGTCGGTTTATTTGAAGGAGATGGGTTTTTTGCTATCACAAAAAAAGGAAAATACTTAACATATGAGGTTGGTATTGAGCTTTCAATTAGAGATGTACAATTGATTTATAAAATTAAAGCTTTATTAGGTATAGGTGTAGTGAGCTTTAGAAAAAGAGGTTCAAGTGAAATGGTCTCCTTAAGAATAAGAGATAAAAAACATTTAAAAGAGTTTATCTTACCTATTTTTGATAAATATTCTATGTTTTCTAATAAACAGTATGATTATTTAAGATTTAAAAATGCTTTACTTTCAGGTATTGTATATTCTGCTGATCTACCTGAATACTCTAGACCTAATGAAAATATAAACGATATTACATCAATAATAAATACATTTTATTTTTCTGCATGATTAGTTGGATTTATAGAAGCTGAGGGTTGTTTCAGTGTTTATAAACAAAATGGTAGTTATCCTATAGCAAGTTTTGATATTAGTCAAACAGACGGGGATGTTATAATATCTGCTATTAGTAAATATTTGTCTTTTACAACAAGTATTTACGTAGATAAGTTTAACACTTCTAGACTAAAAGTATCAAGTGTAAGATCTATAGAAAATATCATTAAATTTATAAATAATGCCCCAGTTAAATTACTAGGTAATAAAAAATTACAGTATTTACTGTGAATAAAAGAATTACGTACATTAGATAGATACTCTAAAAAAATAAATATTCCTTCAAATTATTAATATGTATAAATTAGATCAAGATATAGTCCGATCAACCTAGAAATATGTTGAGTGTAGTGAGAGTAATTAAATACAAATATTAATTACGGTGACTACCAACAGAAATGCTCTGTTAATAATGCAACTTTAAACAGATTTTTTGCATTACATTTTGTTTTACCTTTTATTTTAGTAGCTTTAGTATTAATGCATTTAATTGCACTTCACGATACAGCAGGGTCAAGTAATCCTTTAGGTATTTCTGGAAATTACGATAGAATAACATTTGCTCCTTATTATTTATTTAAAGATTTAATCACTATATTTATATTTATATTTGTTTTAAGTTTATTCGTATTCTTTATGCCTAATGTATTAGGAGATAGCGAAAATTATATAATGGCAAATCCTATGCAAACTCCTCCTGCTATTGTGCCTGAATGATATTTATTACCTTTCTATGCTATATTAAGATCTATACCTAATAAATTATTAGGAGTTATTGCTATGTTTGCTGCAATATTAGCAATAATGTTATTACCTATAACAGATTTAGGTAGATCAAAAGGTTTACAATTCAGACCTTTAAGTAAATTTGCTTTCTGAATATTTGTGGCTAATTTCTTAATTTTAATGAAGTTAGGGGCTTGTCATGTAGAAACACCATTTATAGAATTAGGACAAATAAGTACAATTTTATATTTTGGTCACTTTTTAGTAACAGTACCTGTAACTAGCTTTATAGAAAATATTATTATATATATCCAACAAGAAAAATAAAGTTTCGTCGTTATAGTTTATACAGTTAATAAGGAAATTATCCATTTTCTAATTAATAAAATCTAACTTTTACAAGCTAATACTTCTATAATAAGTTTATGCAAAGTAAAATTAGTGGTAGAATTACTATGAAAAAAAAATTTTTTTATGTTAAGCAATTATTTAATTAATTAGGGTACTAATGTATCATACCGTGAGTTTATATTATAATAAAATGCCTCAATTAGTACCTTTTTACTTTTTAAATGAAATAGTTTTTACTTTTAGTATTATAACTATGTCAGTATACTTTTTATCAAAGTATATTTTACCAAGATTTGTACGTTTATTTTTATCACGTACTTTTATTTCAAAACTTTTTTAATTCTTATTAAATAATATATATTTAAATATACAGAAAATATTTTCCAAGTATTTTCTAAAAATTTGTACATTTATTACGTACTTAATAATACTTTTTTATAAAAAGTTAATATCAAGGTTATGTTTTTTTATTTTTAAGGTTTTTATGACTAACGCCTTTAATTTTAATTATTTATCTAGAGATATTCTTAGCCCTTTATCTCAATTTGAAATAAGAGATTTATTAAGTATAGATGCCCCAATTTTAGGTAATTTACATATTTCTATGACTAATATAGGATTATATTTAACAATAGGAGCATTTTTTTTATTAGTTATAAATCTTTTAAGTACTAATTATAATAGATTAGTAAGTAATAAATGATCTATAAGTCAAGAATCCTTATATGCTACTATTCATAGTATAGTTGTAAATCAAATAAACCCAAGAAATGGTCAAATATACTTTCCTTTAATTTATACTTTATTTATATTTATTTTAATAAATAATTTAATAGGTATGGTTCCTTACAGTTTTGCATCTACAAGTCATTTTGTGTTAACATTTTCCCTTAGTTTTACTATAGTTTTAGGTGCAACTATATTAGGATTTCAAAAACATGGTTTAGAATTTTTTTCTTTATTCGTACCTGCAGGTTGTCCTTTAGGTTTAGTACCTTTATTAGTATTAATCGAATTTATATCTTATTTAGCTAGAAATGTTTCTTTAGGTTTAAGATTAGCTGCTAATATTTTAAGTGGACATATGCTATTACATATATTAGCAGGTTTTACTTATAATATAATGACTTCAGGTATTATTTTCTTTTTCTTAGGTTTAATACCTTTAGCATTTATTATAGCCTTCTCAGGATTAGAATTAGGTATAGCTTTTATACAAGCTCAAGTATTTGTGGTATTAACTAGTGGATATATAAAAGATGCTTTAGATTTACATTAAGTATCATAAAATAAATAATAATTATTATTTATATTTATCAAATTCAAAAGAATATTATTAAATATGTTTAAAATACGTAAAAAAAAAATTTTTTTTTTATTTTAAAAAATCTAATGTGATGTATATAATACACATATATACCAAAATCGAATTGTTTGAATTAATATGTTAAAGATACATCACCTTAATGAGGAAGGTACAATATTTTGTTGAGTTTGGTGATGGCTCTGATTGAACACTGTCCAAGTACTTGACACATGCTAATCGTACGTTTAATCTGGAAAAAATTAATTTTGCCTGATTAAAAGTGGTGTACAGGTGAGTATAAGATTTTTTGACCGATCTTAAAGTGAAGATAAATACTTCATACACAAAGGGTGTAATACCTGCTTTAAGAGGAAAATAAATATCATAGAGATAGGTAGTTGTTAAGGTAATGGCTTAACAAGCCCATAATTTTCTTAGTCGTAACTGAAAAAGGTTGATCGATCACATTGGGGATGAAAAAATCCCAAGGCAAATAAGCACAGCAGTGGGGAATATTGGTCAATGGCCTAAAGGCTGAACTGGTAACTTGGAGGGAAGAATCCTGACCGACTATTAATTTGAAAATAGTAGAGTTAATACTTTATCAGCTAATTCTTGTTAGTTAATTAATACTCTATTAATTAATTGCTTTAATATGCTATAAAGGAGGCGAACCTTATCTTTATAACCTCATAGAGGTATATGTGCTGGAAAAAGTGAATAATTGTTTGGAAACAAATAAATGATAAACTAAAATACAGCACTAATACTTCAACTGGTAAGGAGGTAAATGGCAGGTTAATCGATTTCTCGAATAAATTTCTGTCTACATATTTATAATGAATATATGTATAAATTGTCTTGACTAATTACGTGCCAGCAGTCGCGGCAATACGTAAGAGACTAGTGTTAATCATCATTAATAGGTTTAAAGGGTACTTAGACGGATAAATTAGCCTATTGTTAATCAAAAATTAGGTACAATTATCTAGAGTTTTATATGGGAAGATAGTACTTTAGAGTGTAGAGATAATATTCGTTAATACCTGAGGGACTGGTAAAGGCGCAGGCAATCTTTTATGTAAAAACTGACGTCGAAGGACGAAGGCACAGGGCACGAACAGGATTAGATACCCCAGTAGTCTTTGCAGAGAATTATGAATGCTATAGGTCAGTAATAATTGGTCTATAAATGAAAATGTAAGCATTTCACCTCAAGAGTAATGTGGCAACGCAGGAACTGAAATCACTAGGCCGTTTTTGACACCAGCAGTGAAGTATGTTATTTAATTCGATGATCCTCGAAAAACCTTACCACAATTTGAATATTAAATGACCCAACAAATTAGCTTGCGAGCTAAGTAGAAAGGAGTTTAATACAAGTGTTGCACGGCTGTCTTCAGTTGATGTTGTGAAACAGTGGTTAAATCCATGAAATTAACGGAAACCCTTGCTTTATTTTTAAGGTAAAATTAATAGAGCAGAATTTACTTTAATTTATTTAAAGTAAAATAAAAGGGACTAAGACAAGTCATCATGGCCTTGATATTGTGGGCTATAGACGTGCCACATGTTCCTAAACAAAAAGATGCGAAAATGTGAGTTTTAGCTAATCTAATAAAATAGGATAAAAAGGATATGGATTGTAGTCTGAAACTCGGCTACATGAATAAGAAATTGCTAGTAATCGTGAATCACCATGACACGGTGAATATGACTTCAGATTGGTACTAATCACTCGTCGCATGCTGAAAGGAGTTTATGCAATAAGTTTGCTTTTTTTGTTTTAAGTAAATAAATGTATAGGTTTTATAACTTAAGGCAGATATCTTCGTATGCATATCTCTGATTAGTGTTAAGTCGAAATACAGTTCGTGTAGTGGAAGTTGCACGGGACTATCAAAGTATAACATTATAAGTGTATATAAATAGAATCTATTGATTACTTGATATTTTCAGCTAATTAATGTGATAATAATCTATTTATATACACGAAGGAGAGTTCCGTTTGTTGGTATGACGGGTTAAGCTGTAAACTTAATGACTAACTAGTCATCGAAGGTTCAATTCCTTTTTCTCCTAATTATTATTAATATAGCTCCAGGAGTTTGTAATAAAACTAAAAGTTTAGATATTAAAATATCTATTAATGAGCTTCTATAGCTCAACGGTAGAGCATAATACTGTTAATATTATGATAAATGTTCGATTCATTTTAGAGGCTGTAAATTAATAGATAACTCCGGGAGTTATAAAAAAAAATAATAAAAATGAAAATAAAAATAAAAAAATCTAATAAATAAATAGATAGTATCTGGATACATATTTGAATTCAAAAAATGAATAATCTTATAAGAAGCAATTTTCAAGATCACCCATTTCATTTAGTATCTCCTTCTCCTTGACCTTTATATAGTAGTATATCTTTACTAAACTTAACTTCTACAGGTGCATTATCTATGCACAGTTTCAATAATGGATATTATTTATATTATATTTCTATGATATTAATAATATCTTCTATGTCTTTTTGATTTAGAGATATAATATCTGAAAGTACTTATTTAGGGGATCATACTTTAGCAGTACAAAGAGGATTAAATTTAGGAGTAATACTTTTTATTGTATCAGAAGCTTTATTCTTTTTAGCTATCTTTTGAGCATTTTTCCATAGTGCTTTAACTCCTACTATAGAATTAGGAGCTCAATGACCTCCTATTGGTATTGAACCCGTAAATCCTTTTGAATTACCTCTTCTTAATACTGTAATACTATTATCTAGTGGAGCTACAGTAACTTATGCTCACCATTCTTTAATACATGGAGGTAGAAAAGGAGCTATATATGGTTCTATAGCAACTGTATTGTTAGCTTTAATATTTACAGGATTCCAAGGAATTGAATATAATGTATCTTCTTTCACTATAAGTGATGGTGCATTTGGAACATGTTTCTTTTTTTCTACAGGTTTTCATGGATTACATGTATTAATTGGTACAATTTTCTTAGGTGTAGCCTTGTGAAGAATATATGCTTATCATTTAACTGATAATCACCATTTAGGTTTTGAAGGGGGAATATTGTACTGACATTTTGTAGATGTAGTTTGATTATTTTTATACATATCAGTATATTACTGAGGATCATAATATAATGAAAAACTAGACTAAAAGAAAAAAATATGAATAAAATATAGGGGTTTTAGTATAACGGTAATACATGTGACTTTTAATCGCTAAGAAAAGAGTTCGAATCTCTTAAACCCTATATAAATATAATTTAATTTAATTTAATGGTATATTATATAAGCGATTGTAGTTCAACGGTAGAATTATCGATTTCCATCCGATCTATGCGGGTTCGATTCCTGCCAATCGTATAATTTTAAATATATTTAGAATTAGTAACTTAACTGGTAAAGGACCCTCCTGTCACGAGGGTAGATGCGGGTTCGATGCCTGTCTAATTCGTTAAAGGAAAAGTTGCCATAGGTAGGGCGAGATATTTGCTAAATATCGTGTATATTCACTTAGGTGTTCGAGTCACCTCTTTTCCGTTTATGTATTATAAATAACAAATTCTAATTTTACATAAGACTAATAGAGTTTATTAAATAAACTAATTTAATTAATCTCCTCTTAAGAGGTATATTCTAAAGCTATAATTATGATAAAAAATTTATTTTTGATAAATGAAACATTTACAAATGGTTATATATCTAATATGTTAGATCTAATCTCTATATTTGCAATTTTTTGTGCTATATCTGTTATTATTAATAAAAATCCTATAATTTCCGTTTTATTCTTGATAGGATTATTTGCAAGTATTTCTTCATACTTAATAATATTAGGTTTAAGTTTCATAGGTTTATCTTATTTAATAGTATATATAGGTGCTGTATCTATTTTATTTTTGTTTATTTTAATGTTAATAAATATTAGAATAAGTGAACTTCAAAGTGATACTAATAATAGCATACCTTTAACTATTCTTATAGGTATATCCCTTAGTTATTCTTTATTCCAACTATTACCTTATGATATAGCTATATTAAGTAATTTTAATAGTAATATAAATAATAACTTATACGATAATGCTAATTATTTAATAAATAAAGATAATGATTTATTATTTGTAACGGGAAAAATATGAGATGGAAATTTAGCAGAAAGTAACCATATGACAAGTATAGGTAATATAATGTATACTAATTATAATATCTGATTAATATTAGCAAGTTTCATTTTATTATTAGCTATGGTAGGAGCCATTGTAATAACAATAAAACAAAAAAACTAGATTAAAAGAAAAAAAATGAATATATAAAATATAAAGAAATTAGCTCAATGGTAGAGCAACCGTTTTACACACGGAAGGTTAAGTGTTCGAATCACTTATTTCTTATTAAGATTCTTTAACTTAACAGGTAAAGTGCATTTTTGATAAGAATGATATTCAAGTTCAATTCTTGAAAGAATTAAATTAAAGAGAATTGACCGAGTGGTTTAAGGTGGCTAACTTGAGATTAGTTGTGGGTAAAACCATCATGGGTTCGAATCCTATATTCTCTGTATATAATTATAATACATATTAGTATATAATTTACTATTTATATATAAATATAATATAATTTTAGTTATAATAACGGATTAGAGTCAGATTGGTTACGACACTCCATTTGGGTTGGAGAATTTCTGTGTTCGAGCCGCAGTAATCCGATATTCTTTTGAAATTAAAATTTCAATAGAAATGTATTAGATATAAATAAACATTTATAGATATAAAACATTATAAGGATGTTTTATAACTATATAAGTATATAAAGAGACTATTATGGAAATCTTGCTATGTATTAAAGAGTAACATTTTTGTGTAAAAAAAAACAAATAAACTCTTAGAGAAATTATTTAATAAACGAAGAAAATTGAAATATCTTATTAACTTCAGGAAAAAAAATCAAACGAGATTCTATTATTAGTGTGAACGAAAATAGAATAGCCTATTTAAATAAGTAAAATGGTTTAAAAACTGTTTGAATACTATGGGGAACCTTCCTCAAAGGCTAAATATAATACATAAGCTATAGAGAATAGTACCGTGAGGGAACGATTTTTGAAATAGTAGTTTTATAAGCAGCTTAAGCCAAAAGCGAAAGCGTACCTTTTGCATAATGGGTCACCAAGTTAACATTAGATGCGAGCAAATTTTTTGCAAAGTTAAACCAGTCATTAAAATAATGAATAGTGTCTAAAGTTAGACCCGAAGCCTAGTGATCTTACTATAGTCAGGATTATAAAGGTCCGAACGGGTTATCGTTGCAAAGATATCCGAAGAACTATGGTAAGCAAGTGAAAGACAATACTGACTAGGATAGCTGGTTTTCTGCGAAACCTATAATAGTAGGCAATTTAAGTAACATCTTAGTAGGTACAGAACTTAATCTCAGGCAAGATGTATATTTTATATGTATAAAAAACATTTTATTTTGTATACATCGGGGGATTGTGAAAATTTTATCGGTGAGTATGTAGTCTCGGAATGACAAAGATGAATCTTGAATTATCAGACATAGAATGATAAGGTTGTATGTCAAAAGGGAAACAGCCCAGAACAAGAGTTAAGGTTCCAAAATTATTATTAAGTGAAATGAAGAAAGTTTTTATATAAGTCGACAAGAAGATAGGCTTGGAAGCAGCCATAATTTGAAGATCTCGTAACAGAGTCACTTGTTAAAGCTTAAAAGCATCTAAGATTTAGCGGATCTAAATAATATACCGAAACCTTGTCCATATAAAACATTAATACTGTTAATGTTATATCATGGGGTAGCAGAACGTTGAATTAATATTTGACTTTTAATTTAAGTATATAAAAATTCAAGTGAGAATGGTGACATGAGTAACAAAAAAGAGAATGAGTATTTTTTTCTTGATAGACGGATATTCTAAGGGAAGAGAATATATAAACAGGAACTTTAAGGTCTCCTGGTCTTTCTTTAAGAAGGACGAATCTGACTATCTTTATTTTCTTAACAAAAAAGAAAAATATACTCTATTAATGTCTCTCGCCTAAAGCTTATGGTCTATGATAAGTAACGGCCTCTAAGTCAATAATCTTAAGATTACTATGACGATGAGAAAATCTATTTACTTTTTAGGACGACATTTATAAGTGGTAAATGTACTGGAAAAATAAGTAATATTTTTAGTTTTAAAACTAAAATTAAGATATACCGTGCCTAGAAACTGCAACAAGTAAGCTAGTAGAGAATACGAAGGCGTAAATGAGATAACAATCATAAAGGAACTCGGCAAACTAACTACCGTAACTTAGGGATAAGGAGGGCTCATTAATCTCGGTTAATGCGAGTAAAAACGAAGAAGCATGAAATATTGTTGTACGACTGTTTAATTAAAACAAAGCACTTTGCAAAAAGATGATAAATCTAAGTATTGAGTGTGATTTCTGCCCGGTGCCGGCTGGTTAACGAATTTACTAAAAAAAAATTTTTTTTGGTTTTAGAGGAACCCCCGGTTAAAGGCGGCCTTAGCGTGAGGGTCCTAAGGTAGCGAAATACCTTGGCCGTTAAATGCGGTCTTGCATGAATGATGTAACGATACAACAGCTGTCTCTATGATTGACTCAGTGAAATTGGAATAACTGTGCAGATACAGTTTACCTCTAGTTAGACGAGAAGACCCTATGCAGCTTTACTGTTATTAATTATTGAATATGAACCGGAGAAAGTATAGTGTAGAAGGTAATTGATTAGGTAAAATTGAAACACCTTTATTTTTCTATCATATTATAAAACCTTAAAAAGGAACAATTGTTAAAAGACAGTTTATGCGGGGCACAGACCCCATAAAGAGTAGATGGGTGTGTCTAAAAAATTAAAACTTAATTTTTAGTTTAGGTTTGTTATTTTTTTATAGATATTCTATATTAATCTTGTATATGCAACTCATATGATATATTTCTGCGAAAACAGTCATATATAACTTGGGTGAAGTATAAAAAACATTAGGTATATTAATTTAAATTTTAATATATAGGAAATTAGGTAAGATTTTATTTATAGAGAAAATAGATGTAATAAAAAAAAATATTATGAAGAAATTTTCTAATATTTTTTATAGTTATTATTAAATTAACTTTAATAATAATAATGTTTGTTACTTATTAGGCTTAATGGCTTAATCTTGCCTTACTGTTTGATTAACAACAAATCTTACAGTCGCGTAAGCGGGGCATAGGATCACAAGATGCAAAAAGGAAAGATCTTGGATTTTTGGAAAAGCTACGCTAGGGATGTTTGTCCTTCAATATAAAAAAAAAATTTTTTTTTATAATTGGTAATATATTGGGTTAATTTCAAAAATTACTTTGTATTTAAAAGTAAATTTGAAGCGTAATTTATCTTAGCATATTTTATAAGATAAAATCGTTCAACGACTATAAGGTGAGTAATGCTAACAATAATCCTTTATTAATACCCAACTTTCTTTTTTATATAGTATATAAAAATATACATCCATCAAAAAATTTAAACATGAATAATAATTTGATTATTTTTAGTAAATATTTAAATAATAAAAATAAATTTTTATTTAAAAAGGAGTCTATAGTACAATCTTTTGTAGGAAAACAAAAATATACTCCTCCTGTATCTAAAGAATGAAAAAATAATGTTTATGCCTTTAATGCTTATAATTTGAAAAATTTACCTATATTTGATATAAATATAAATGAATTAATAAAAAATTATTTTAATTTATATTTTAACCCTAAATTTTTGCATATTAAAAAGTATAAAAATCGTAAATCTTTTAATAAAATATTCGTAAGTAAAGCAGAAGTAAAACATAATAGCAATAAAGCTATTATAACTGTATATGTTTATAATAGAGAAAAAATCTCTTTATTAAAAAGAATAAAATTTATAGAAGATTACTATTTTAGAATAGCAAATTATATAAATTCTTTAGAATTCCCTAAGGGCTTATATGTAAGCCCTTCTATTATTTATTTAAAATTTGTTAAAGCAACATTTATTAAAGAATTAATACTACTTCGAAAATATAAATTAAGATTAAATCTTAATAAAAATAAATTTGAGGAAAAACTTTTATTTAAATTAAAAAATTTAATAGTTAAATTTTTAAATAAAAAAGTAGAATTTAATATTGTAAATCTAAAATCTATAATATTTAATAGCGATTTTTTTACTAGAATGTTAGCGCAAAAAACAAAAAATAATAATAATGTATTAAAAACAATGAACAAGATTTTGAATAAAGTTGTTATACCTAAGGTTAATAAAATAATTGAAAAAAGTGCAACTATAAAAAGTGTAGATTTGAATTTATTAGAAAATAAATTTAAATCTTTAAATATAAGTTCAATATTAAATAATAATAATTTATGAGAATTATTAAATAATTTATATTATAATGTCTATTCAAATTCAAAAGATTTTTTTAACAAAAATTATGCAAAAATATATGAAATTATATTTAATTCTATTAAATATAAAAACATAGGGGGTGTAAGATTAGAAGCTAAGGGAAGATTAAGTAAACGATCTAGAGCAGATCGATCTAAATTTAAAGTAAAATGAAAAGGAGGATTAAGAAATATTGATTCATCTTATAAAAGATTGTCTTCTGTAAATATGAGAGGTTTTGTTAGATCTAATCTCGAATATTCAATATATGCATCTAAACGTTATGTTGGAGCTTTTGCAGTAAAAGGTTGAGTAAGTGGAAAATAAAAAGAATCTTTATATTATAAATACATATAAAAAAGAAATGAAGAAATAGTCTGAACCATTTTGTGAAAAATGGAAATAAATTAGTATGATAACAAATTGAACAGGCTAATTTGCGCAAGAGTGTACAAAATGAGTGCGCGGTTTGGCACCTCGATGTCGGCTTAACTTATCCTCATGGATGCAGAAACTATGTAGGGTACGACTGTTCGTCGATTAAAGAGTTACATGAGCTGGGTTAAATACGTCGTGAGACAGTATGGTTTCTATCTTCTAGAGGGAATTAGAATATAATAAGGATTAACCTTGTACGAAAGGAACATGGGGTACTATTGTTATACCTTTTGTTGTATAGCAGTTTTATTAATCTCTGGTTTACCTGTTGTTTATGTGCCAAATATTAAATGTTATAGTAATTAATTTATTACTACTGTAAAGTTTAGTTTTATTACTTTACTTTATAGTAAAGGTATTTTATATTACTATTCATACAACGTAAGGATGTTATAGTCACTTAAATAAATAAATAGCATAGGCATGGCAGGAAAGCTAAATTAGTTATAGATAAGTGCTGAAAGCATATAGGCACGAAACTAACCTTAAGATATTTCTTAAATGTACGTAATATAATATTACATAAATAGGCTTAGTTTGTAATAATTGGAAGATTTTTAGATACTAAGTACTAATTTTATAAAAAACTAAACGATAAATATATCGCTAGATATATAATTAAACTAAATTAATTATATATCTCTAATGTCTGATTAGCATAAAAGCAATGCAATTGTTTTGTAATCAATAGAAGTAAGTGCGATACTTACATCGGACTAAATTAGGATTAGTCGTCAAGTGGTAAGACATAGCTTTTTCGTTGCTACTACCGCGGGTTCGAATCCCGCCTAGTCCTTTATTAGATTAATAATAGAAAATATTTTAATATATTTTATATTAAAATCCTATGGATGCTCTAATTATTGAGGATATAGCTCAATCGGTAGAGCATACTGCTCATAACAGTACCGTTAAGTGTTCAAGTCACTTTATCCTTATTGCGGGTTAATTTAATAGTAAAATATTTGGCTCATGACCAAAAGATATAAGTGCAAATCTTGTATCCGCATATACTACTAAATGATCTTTAATATTTATATCTATTAAATTGAAAGATATAATTTAATTATATCTAATGTAAGTAAATTTATCCGAGTGCTGGAATGGTAGACAGTACAAGCTTAAGTTTTGTTGGTTAATAGCCGTGAACGTTCGAGTCGTTCCTCGGATATAAAGAGAGACATATATTATAACAATGTCACAAAGCCTAAATTATATTGTTCAAGAATATAATAATATTATACCTAGGGTATATAAATTATAGGGAATATAGTATAATTGGTAGTACAATAATTTTGCATATTATTAGTTTAGGTTCGAAACCTAATATTTCCATGATTTTAGTTTTAATATTTTTAAATATATTATGTAGATAAATAAATATCTTAATATATTTATTAAAGAGCATAGTTTAATGGTAAAACAGAAAGCTTCAACCTTTAAATTCTCCGTTCGAATCGGAGTACTCTTGAATTTTAAAAAGCTCAGATAACTCAATTGGTAGAGTGAAACATTGAAGCTGTTTTTGTTGTAAGTTCAAGTCTTACTTTGAGCATATATAGATGTGCTGAAATAGGTAGACAGGTTTTGTTTAGGCCAAAAATGCTGCAAGTTCAAATCTTGCCGTCTATACAGATAGCACCTGGATAAATGATAAAATTTAAAATGAAATTTTATCATCTAAATTTCTTAAAGATTTTAGAAGGGTTAAACCAATATGTTGTGGACTAATGGGTAAGTCATAAATTTTTGGTATTTAGGTATTGAGTGTTCGAATCACTCCAACATAATATTATTAAGGATAATATAGCTTAATAGGTAGAGCGATTGTTTGTGGCACAGTAGGTTCTCTGTTCAAATCAGAGTATTGTCCCAAAAGAGGATTTTATACATAATGTATAGTCTATTAGCCCGGGTAGTTTAAAGGTAAAACCTTAATTTCATACATTAAAGATGAGAATTCGATTTTCTCCTCTGGCTTATTTTCATGATAATAATTTCTATACTTTCTTTATTAATTTCTAATGCCGTTACATCAAGACGAGATATTCCCATTATTTTTAATAGAATTGCTATTATTGCTTTAATTTATTGTATTTTACACGGATTCATTAGTTTATCTGTTATGAATAAAGGTGTGGCTTTACACGGAGGTTTACTTCATACTACAAATATTATACAGATTTTTCATATATTTATTTTTTTTATAACTATATTAATTTTACAATTAACAAGTTTTTACCCAAGAACTCTAATATTAAGATCTAAATCTTCATGATTAATATCTTTAGAAAAAAATTTAACAAAATATTTTTTTAATAAAATAGGAGAACATTTAAAAATAATAGAATATCCTTTAATATTATTATTTGTAGTTAGCGGGGCAGTTTTTTTAATATCTACTAATGATTTAGTTTCTATATTTCTTTCTATAGAATTACAAAGTTATGGTTTATACTTATTAAGTACAATTTATAGAAATTCTGAATTATCTACTGCAGGAGGTTTAATTTATTTTTTATTAGGAGGTTTAAGTTCCTGTTTTATTTTATTAGGTACAAGTTTATTATATGCGAATTCTGGTACGACAAATCTAGAATGTTTATATATAATTAATAGTATAAGTGATATGAATGATAACTTAACTTCATGATATAAATCTTATTATTTAAATTTTTCTTTACTTATATTTAGTATAGGATTTTTATTTAAAGTAAGTGCTGCACCTTTTCATTTTTGATCTCCTAAAAAAGGACTTGGGAAATCCTTATCAACAAACGTTGGGAGTAAACTATCAAATTCCGGGGAACCCCTAAAGCTTCTGATACTAAACCATATATGAAAATGTATGAGTGGCTGAACTAATTACTCAGGTATAGTAATAAGTCAGAAGATGAGTGAAAGCGAAATGGGCAATCGCGGATCTAAGTCAGTAAACCATTCCACCAGGAGTATTACTGTAAAAGAGCAACGAGTAAATGGTAGTTGATGTGGTATTAATTTATCGCATTTAAGATGTACTCTACTGGGCTTCGAAAGAAGTTATCAAGTTAAAATCCCTTCTAATCAAATTATTCAAAGACAACTTTATTCTACTGTATCTAACTTAGACAATAGCAAACTACCTTTAGACCCTTGATTTATATCAGGGTTCTCTGATGCAGAAGGATGCTTTCTTGTTTTAATCCGTAAATCACAAAAAAACCTGCTAGGTTGACAATTAGAGGTTAATTTTACAATTAATCTTCATGCTAGAGACCTAGATCTTTTAAAACTTTTTAAATCCTATTTTGGAGTAGGAAGAATAGGTAAAGAAAGAAATGGTTGTTGTGATTTTACAATAGGTTCTTTAGATCAAATTATTACAAAAGTAATACCTCATTTTGACAAATATCCTTTAAAAACTAATAAATATTCAGATTATATTTTATTTAAAAAAGTAGTCATGATTATGCAACGCAAGGAACATTTGACAGTTGAAGGTTTACAAAAAATAATAAATATTAGAGCTTCTTTAAATAGAGGATTAACTCCTTTATTATTAGAAGCTTTCCCTAATACTGTAGCTTTAGCAAGACCATTATTACCACTTAGTGTTAAATTAGATCCTCAATGGGTAGCTGGTTTTACTAGTGGCGATGGTTGTTTTAAACTTAGTATTAGAGAATCTAAATTACATAAAATAGGAAGTCGTATAGTATTACTTTTTGTAATAACTCAACACATTAGAGATGAATTATTATTAAAAAGTTTAGTAGATTTCTTTGGATGTGGTCAAACTTATTCGTATAAAGATTATACTGAGTACAGATGTCAATCATTTAAAGATAATTCTGAAAAGATTTTACCTTTTTTCAAAAAATACCCTATTATTGGCGTTAAATCTAAGGATTTTGAAGATTGAGCTAAAGTAGTAAAGATGATACAAAAAAAAGATCATTTAACTAAGGAAGGCTTCGATCAAATTCGTCAAGTAAGAATAGGAATGAATAAAGGTAGATATCTAAATTAAACTAATTTAATTCACTTAAAGTTGTTCTTTTCTTTAATTTGGACGATAAATTTAACCGTAATCATGTGGACGTTTATGATGCTATACCTACTATAGTTACAACTTTTGTTGCAATTATAGCAAAAATATCTATTTTTATCTTTTTATTAGAATTGGTATATCATACAAATAATTCTATATCGGAATATAGTTGAACTTATGCTTTATTAATAAGCTCTCTTCTTTCATTAATCGTAGGGACTGTTGTAGGTTTAACACAGTTTAGAATAAAAAGATTACTTGCATATAGTACTATATCTCATGTAGGTTTTATATTATTAGCTTTAAGTATTTCTAGTATAGAATCTACACAAGCTTTTATTTTTTATTTAATACAATATTCTATAAGTAATTTAAATATATTTATTATATTAATAACTATAGGATTTTCTTTATATAGTTATATAAATAACAACGAAGATTCTCAAAATTTACTTGAAACTAATAATTCACCAATACAATTAATTAGTCAATTAAAAGGTTATTTTTATATAAATCCTATATTATCTTTAAGTTTAGCTATTACTATTTTTTCTTTTGTAGGTATACCTCCTTTAGTAGGGTTTTTTGCAAAACAGATGGTATTAAGTGCAGCTTTAGATAGTGGTTATGTTTTTATATCTTTAATTGCTATACTTACTAGTGTAATAGGAGCAGTTTATTATTTAAATATAATTAAAGAGATTTTTTTCCATTCTCCTGAGTTAAACCATAATTCAGATGAAAACTTAAATATTTATAGTAAAGAGAGTACTAATTATATTTCTAATTTTAATAGTAATTATTTACTTAAAAATAGTAAAATTACAGTTATATCTAGTCCTTTTTCTCTTACTATTTCTATTATTACCTTAGTAATATTATTATTTATATTTATGAATAAAGAATGATTAAGTATGGGTACCATATTGGTACAAGTTTTATTTAGTAATTAAATGAGTAGTATGACATTATTTATAGTATTTGTATGTATAATTGCTATACTTTTTTTATTTATAAATTTAGTATTTGCTCCTCATAACCCTTATCAAGAAAAATATAGTATATTTGAATGTGGTTTTCATAGTTTTTTAGGTCAAAATAGAACACAATTTGGTGTAAAATTTTTTATTTTTGCTTTAGTTTATTTACTATTAGATTTAGAAATATTATTAACATTCCCTTTTGCTGTTAGTGGATATGTTAATAATATTTACGGTTTAATTATTACATTAGGATTTATAGCTATAATAACTATAGGATTTATATATGAATTAGGTAAAAGTGCTTTAAAAATAGATAGTAGACAAATTGTAAATATAACAAAATTTAATTCGTATTCTAGAGTAGAATTTATAGGAAAAATCTAGAAATATTTGCGAAATCAAATGTAATTTAATAAAATTATCTTTTAATAAATGCTACTTTAGTTATATGATAATATTATCATAAATATTATTTTCATTTTGGTAATTTTTAATTAATTATAAATTATGATGTATAAGGTATACACTTTGATTGCAAATCAAAAGTAAGAGGTTCGATTCCTCCATAATTTTTGTTTAATTTATATTCTACATATTAGTATTATCTATTATATAATATAGATATATTATATATATGTAGAAGTATTCACAAATAAAAAAAAAATGTATTTATTTATTAATAGTTTAATTTTAAATTTCGATGCTCCCAGTCCTTGAGGTATTTATTTTCAAGATAGTGCTACTCCACAAATGGAAGGATTAGTTGAATTACATGATAATATAATGTACTACTTAGTAATTATATTATTTGCAGTAGGATGAATATTATTTTCAATAGTATGAAATTATATAGGTACAAAATCTCCTATTTCACATAAATACTTAAATCACGGTACACTTATAGAATTAATATGAACTATTACTCCTGCAGTAATATTAATATTAATAGCTTTCCCTTCTTTTAAATTATTATATTTAATGGATGAGGTTAGTG